CGGCGCCCCCTCCGCGGAGTCGGCGGGGTGACCGCTGAGGCGGGAGGCGAGCCGGCGCTTTGAGAGACAGGAGAGGCAAGGACGGCCTGCCGGGCTCCACCAGCTCCTCACCTTCATGGCCGCGACCGCCTCGGCTCGGTCGGCTCTGCCAGGAAAATCAGCACCATAGCAGCCCCCAGACAGCCGACCTCCTCCTTTCTCCGGGGCAACTACGGCGCCTCCCGAGGTCTCGGAGCGTCCGGACGTATGAGGCGTGGTCACGCTCGCCGCGCGCCCCAGGTGGAAAGCTGAGCGGCGGCCAATCCGACCAATCTGGAGCGTACACTCGGGGGCCGGTCATCATAGCCAATGAAATGCAGCAATGGGGCGGGGCGTCCAGCTCCGCCCGGAGGACCCGGGAGGACTCGGTTCGGTTGTGAGCGGAGATGAGCGGTTTTGGCCGTGATGTGAGGTACCTTCCCGTTCCGCTTCGCTTAGTGGGGAGGTCACGACGGCACGCAGCGTTCCCCGAGGCACCTCCAGCGGAGAGTTGGCCTTGCGGGCTGAGGGTCAGCTTCCCGGGGCGCCGGGGCAGGCCGGGCCGTGGTGAGTGTGAACCGGAGGTTAGTTTGCAGGCTTTTGTTCTGGCGCTCAGAGCTGGGCCTGTCTCCCTTCCGAAGCGCTCGCCGCCCTTCGGAGATCTGGGGCCCAGGAGAACCGCGTGACCCCTCCGAAATGACTTCGGGTGTAGAAAGGCGAGGGCGTAAATTAAGGTCTGGGTTTCTCCAGCTGAACTGGATGAAGGCCCTTAGTTGATTTTCTTACTTTTTTGCACTTTTAACTCAACTCGTATTTGAATTTTACACGCGAAGATGTCACTGCGCTCTTTGTGAAGACCCAAGACTGGCCTGTTTTTGTTTTTGTTGTTTTGTTTTTCCTGTAGATTTGTTTACATGGACTGTGTGTCAGATTCCAACACAACAGGCCACTTCCTTCGGCTGATGTAACCTGTCAGCTTCATTTTTCTCACTGCAAATTCTGCTTAAAGTAACTTCTTATCCAGGGTAGAACTGAAAAAATTCACAGAAAGCCTTTTGTCTCACTACTGATACAAACCCAGAGTTCTCCCTTCATAGACCTCGAGTTAAAATAAGCCCAAGAAGAGATGCTTGACATCGTTAGCCACCAGGAAATGCAATTCGAAACCACAAATACCACTACAACCTAAGATGACTAAAATAATTTTTTTTTAAATCTTGTTGAGGATGTGGAAAATTTGGAATCCTTAGTCCAACGGTGGGAATGTAAGTCTGTAAACATTGGCAACTCTTCAGAAACCACCTGGCAAGGCTGGGCCTGGCGGCTCGCATGCATCTGTTATCCCAATGCTCAGGAGGATTGGTAGGAGTTAGAGGCCGCTGGGACTAGTGAGTTGCAGGCCAGCCTCGGCTACATAGCAAGACCTTGTCTCCCCCGCAAAAAAGGCACAACAATTTTTTTGCAGTTATTTTATTGGTACATTTTAGATATGTGTAATGATAACATTCATCATAAGGAATTTGCATTTGTCCATGATATGTCCTGCTTCTTTTTCTTTCCTTCAATCCTTCTTCCCATTCTTATTTACAAAAGCTTTGTTTCATGGCACAGTGATTCTGCTCTGAGATATATATGAAATATTTTGCCCACAAAGAAACTTCTAAGCTAATATTCTCAGAAGCATTATACATAATAGCTAAAAGTGGAAACAACCCAAATGTTTATTGTCAGAGAACAAGGAACAAAATTTGCATCCACATCCACACAATGGGATAGTATTTGGCCAGAAAAGGAATACAAGACTGCCCAGCGAGGTGGTACACACCTGGGAGGCTGAGGCAGGAAGATCACAGCAAGTTAGAGGCTAGCATGAGCTACATAGCAAGACCCTGTCTCAAAAAGGGGCGGGGGAATACAAGACTAGCACAGGCTATGCCGGGGATGAATCTTGAAAGTATACTAGATGAAAGAAACCAGACCCAAAGGTCACATGTTATACAATTCCAGTTATATGAAATATCTGCAACAGATGAATCCAGGGGTACAGGAGAGTAGAAGCTGCTAGAGCTGTAGAGAGCTAGGGAGAAATGGAGTGACAATGACAGTGTGGTTTCTTTTTGCCAAGAGAAGTTTGAGGGAGTGTTTTTCTAGCGCTAGTGGCTGAACCCAGAGCATTGCACATGCACTGTACCACTGAGCTACATTCCCAGCTCCATTTCCTTCCTTTTCTTTATGTTCCAAATTGAACTTACTAGGACTGGGGATTTGGCTCAGTGGTTCTGCTGCCTGCCCTGCAAGCACAAGGACCTGAGTTTGAGTCCCCGTACCAAAATAAATAAATAAATTGAAGTTTACTAAATAAGAATCAGAGTATTATTTTTTTCATTTCTCTATGTGTTTATAACGAACAGTGGGAGCCAGAGATTTAGCTCAGTGTTTCCACCACCTGCCTTGCAAGTGCAAGGATCCAAGTTTGATCCCCGGTACCAAAATACAAAAAAAAAAGAATTAAGATGCTATGTCCATGTGCCAGCTCCTCATAAGGAATATAGTCATTATGGACTAATAAAAATAAATAAATAAATAAATAAATATTTAGCCGGGCGTGGTGGCACCCGCCTTTAATCCCAGCACTCCTGAGGCTGAGGCAGGAGGATCACTGTGAGTTAGAGACCAGCCTGGGTTACATAGCTCCAGGTCAGTCTCAACTACATAGTGAGACCCTGTCTCTAAAAAAAACAAAAAAAAGGATACAGAAAGATTAATAATTTTTTTCCATCCACTAAGAGTGCTTTGCTGGATTTCAGCCTGCATCATTTTACAGCCCTGCCCTACGGCAGAAAGTGAAAAATCCTCATGTGTATTTTTTTTTAACAGTCAAGAACAAGTTGCCCTTGTTTTTGCTATCTTCTACCACCAGGACCTGTTTCTCCTGTTATGTGCCACCCTGCTTTGGAGCCAGCAGATCGTGAACTGAAACCTCTACAGACTGCCAGTTAAATAAGTCATTACCCCTTTAAAAAAAAAAGGGTTGGGGATTTAGCTCAGCAGTTTGGTGGCCTGCCTTGCAAGCTCAAGGACCCAAGTTCAATCCCTGGTACTGGAAAAAAAAAAAGTTTGTCTCAGGAAGACAAGGCTGGCTTCACAGTAGAAAAAAATCAATGAGCTCATCCACTACCCTAACAGATTAATGAATCAAATAGGATCATCTCAGAGATTTAAGAAAAAAATATTTTAAAAAATACAAGTCCAACACTAGATCTTAGCCAAAAGGCTGAGAAGCAATACAACTTCAATTTCTACAATCTGATAAACCAAGACAATCTAAACATAAGAAGCACAAAATATATAGTAGAAATAAATCCAAATGTATTATTCACCACTAAATATGAACTGACAAAAACAGATCCCTTTTTAAAAAGAATGTAATAATATTCTTTTAAATGGAGACATAATGAGACAGCATGTAGAAAAATTGGGCACAGAGTTAGTATGTAATAATAAAGACCTAATTCTAGGATAGCTTTCTTTGGGGAATGATTAAAGAAAAGTTATAAAGTTATCTATGGGAATGTTGCCCAATTCTGTGACTATACTAAAAAGTATTGAATTGTATCATTTAAATCAAGAAAGTTGCTACAATCACACTGAAGAACATACAAAAGCTGTTTTTGTTTTGGACCCAAGGCCTTGAGTTTGCTAAGCAAGTGCTCTACCCCAGAGCTACCCACCACACTCCCACACAAAAATTTAATGCTGTTTGAGCTGGGGATTTAGCTCATTGGTTCCACTGCCTGCCTGCCAGGAACAGGTCCTGAGTTCATTCTCCTGTACCATGAAAAAAAAAAAAGTAGCCACAGAAAAGCAATTAAAGCCACCAGGAGCTACGTGTGGTGGCCCACACCTGTAATCCCAGCACTTGGGAGGATGAGGCAGGAGGATTTATTAGAGTTGGAAGCCAGCCTGGGCTAATAGTCTCTTTGAGATTCTGTTCCTAGGCCCTAGGCTAAAAATAGCTGGCTATGTACCTTGTCTTATGACTTTAGTAACCTTAGATAAAATTTAGATAATGAATTTAATAATTTGAGACAAACCTCCAAGGTTGTTTAGGTTTTTTTTTTGTTGTTTTGTTTTTTGTACCAGGGATTGAACTTGGGACCTTGCACTTGTGAGTCAGGTGCAGTGCCACTGAACTAAATCCCCGGCCCCAAGATAATAATTTTAAACTGGCAGCTTGTCTTAAACTTTGCTGAATGGTTGAAAAATACTGAATGTGAAACAACCAGAGCTTTCATGTGGTTTCTAGGAAGTGAAAGAAAGAAGGTAGGAGCAGCTTTGTAGGCCTCCTCAGCTGAATGGAGACGTGGTTTTCTTCTTTTCATAGCTTGGGAAACTGAACCCCTACTGAGCCCTTTGGCCTGTGGCTCAGTGAGCAGTGGTGGAGGTTAGAGCAGCTGCCAGCCCTCCTGTCCGCAGCCCTGCCCTGTTCACCTGTGTTTTAGTCTTCTAAGAAAGAGACAGACCTTGCCAAACAAGTCTATCCTTGTCAGGTCCTGGTCAGGAAGCCTGCACTCACATTAACCTCCCCATGGAGGTTGGGAACTCCCTATAGGTAGCGAAGAAGAGATTCCCCTGCTGGGGAGAATATAACTGCAGCCTGCTACATGTGGGATGTGCGGGGCTCATTCCCGAATATTATCAACAAGAGAATTCCAAGGGACAGAGGAGATGGAGAGCAGGAAAAGTTTATTAAGAGAGGGCTGGGGCCGGGCATGGTGGCACACGCCTGTAATCCCAGCACTTGGGAGGCTGAGACAGGAGGATCACTGTGAGTTCAAGACCAGCCTGGGCTACATAGTGAGTTCCAGGTCAGCCTCAACTACATAGTGAGACCCTGTCTCAAAAAAAACAACAACAAAAAAAGAGACGGGCTGGGTCCCCAGTGGGTGGTCACCGAGGTCCTTCATCAAGGATAATTTATACAGCAAGGTCTGCGTGGGCACAAGGCAGGCCAGACTACAGCCAAGCTGTGCGCCCACTTAGCTAGTAAAGCCACCATGGGGAACGCAGAGGGGACGGGAAAGAGCACAGGTGCTTTGGAAAGGGCGGAGCGTGGGTCAGGGGTTCTCCTCACCCTCCCACGCTCGGACCAGCGACTGCAGTGCGGCCTCAGGCTGTGCTGGTCCCACAGGCCTGACTGCCGCGCCTCCACCCCGAGGCCTC